GAGGGAGGAAGAGTACTTCCAAAGAAGATGCCACATCTACCTATGAGACAGATAAGGCAAGTGTAGACAATACCACACTTCGGTACTTAAAAGTTTCGTGATTACGAGATCATTCTTCCACAATATTTCCTAATGTCATTTGTACTAAATCATTCACTTGTACTCACTAAAGGAGAGCTTGAACCTATATACTGTGTAAACCCTTCACAATTAATGAGAACTCCTTTACTCCGTGGACGTAGCCAATCTGGGTGAACCACGTACATCTTGTGTTTGCTTCCTGTCTCTATCCATTTACATACTTATCCACACTAATGACCGGAGCAATCTAGCGAAGATCACAAACTTAATATTTAAGATGATATTCTTTGGTGTATGCTTTTCGCAAACGATATAGTGTTGATAGATGAAACGCAGGAAGGGGTAAACGCGAAGCTTAACCTTTGGAGAGAAGTGTTGGAATCTAAAGGTCTTCGCCTAAGCCGATCAAAGACAGAATATATGAAGTGCAAGTTCAGTGCAAACGGAGGCCAAAATGAGTTAGGGTGAGGATCGGAGATCAGGAAATACCAAAGAGCGACCGTTTTCGCTACCTAGGATCTATCTTGCAAAAGAACGGAGAATTTGATGGAGATCTCACCCATAGAATACAAGCTGGATGGATGAAGTGGAAAAGTGCATCCGACGTGTTGTGTGACCGTCGTAGGCCACTGAAGCTCAAGGGAAAATTTTATAGGATGGCAATAAGGCCGGCAATGCTGTATGGCATAGAATGTTGGGCGGTGAAGCATCAACACGTAGGTGTAGTGGAGATGAGGATGCTTCGTTGGATGTGTGGGCACACGAGAAATGATAAGATTAGGAATGAGGATATCCGAGGTAAAGTATGAGTAGCCGAAATTGAAGGAAAGAGGAGAGAAAATCGGTTACGGTGGTTTGGACATGTGCAAAGAAGGCCTACTAACGCTCCGGTTCGAAGATGTGACCACGGGACAGAGGTTCAGGGCCGAAGGGGTAGAGGAAGACCTAGGAAAACTTTGGAAGAGACCCTAAGAAAAGACTTAGAGTACTTGGATCTAACGGAGGACATGACACAAAACCGAGCGCAATGGCGTTCTAGGATTCGTATAGCCGACCCCACTTAGTGGGAAAAGGCTTTGTTGTTGTTGTTGTTGTAAGATTCGGGGTAGAGCAATAAGTCACAACCGTTACAAAACTCTCCTCCTCAAAAAGAGAGAATGACCACAACCACAAAGGCCCTCCTTGACAAAGCTAGATAGCAACCACTACCAAAAACAAAAACATAAAAAAAGAGAAGGAAGGAATCAAGAAGGATTGTCACCGACCCCAAAACCAAAGACTGGAGTCAACATCAGTAGGTTTTTCTTTGGTCTTTTTTCTCCTATAGCGGCTAGGGTTTGTCTCAGCCGCCTACCCCCGAAAATTTTACCGTTTAAGAACGTATAATAACTAATGTATTTGTTGGGGGATACTTCAAATTAAGGAGCGTAAGAGTTAGAGAAATGAAGAAGGTGAAAGTTCAACTTTTAACTTTGAATTGCATTTTATTATCAACGTTTGCATTTTATTATCAACGTGTACACAAAATCAATAGAACTTTTGACCCTTCCATTTGTAGATACATGCACAAACGTCTTCCCTTAATTTCACTTTGGCAATTGGATTGGCCAAGCCAAGTTATGCATATGCTCAAAACTACCAATACATTAATTGAAATTTCAAAAAATGGAAAATATTGTTGTATTAATACGACTACTTTCCTTAAGTATTGGTTTAGAAACTAATATGACAATTATGTATTCATGCAATGAGTACAATAGTACTTCTCCCCCATACATACACATACATACATTATACATACATATATATATATATATATGCATGTATATATGTACAATATCCACAAAATCTACTTTATTAATAGATAATTAATTAATGAAAGTAATATTATTACCGTATATGTCAAGATGCAAAGCATCAAGGTAGGTTTGTTAAGTTATAATTTATTAATTAATGCTTGGCTTGAAGAGTTATCTGGGTGTTGTAACATCCCACATTGCCGAGAGGAGTGGATCATGTAAGCCTTATATGTATATTCTCATCTCTACCTAACACGAGACCTTTTGAGAACTCACTGGCTTCAGGTTTCATCTTAACTCCGAAGTTAAGCAAGTTTGCGCGAGAGCAATCCCATGATGGGTGACCCACTGGGAAGTTCTCGTGTGAGTTCCCAGAAACAAAACCGTGAAGGCATGGTCAGGACCCAAAACGGACAATATCGTGCTACGGTGGAGTCAAGCCCAGGATGTGGAAACAAAACCGTGAAGGCATGGTCAGGGCCCAAAACAGACAATATCGTGCTACGGTGGAGTCGAGCCCGGGATGTGGTGGGGGCCTGTGACAATTTGGTATTGGAGCCAATCCCTGGCCGGAAATGTGCCGACGAGGACGTTGGGCCCCTAAGAGGGATGGATTGTAACATCTCACATCGCCCAGGGGAGTGGATATTCTCATCTCTACCTAGCACGAGGCATTTTAGGAGCTCACTGGCTTCGGGTTCCATTGGAACTCCGAAGTTAAGCGAGTTCGCGCGAGAGCAATCCCATGATGGGTGACCCATTGGGAAGTTCTCGTATGAGTTCCTAGAAACAAAACCGTGAGGGCGTGGTCGGGGCCTAAAGCGAACAACACCGTAATCGAGTCGGAGATGTGGTGGGAGCCCGGACCAGGATGTGACAGGTGTGGTGTGGATAATATACGTTGTGTCCGGCACGTAAGATTCCAAAAACCAGCCTAAGACGAAATTTAAATGTAAAGATGAGAGTAGGGTTTGGTCCTTGGAGAAGCAAGGGATCACTTTATTCTGCTGATCATGGGTTCCTCTCATGACTTCATTTTTACGTACTACTACAAGACAAGATAACCATACATATAATAATATCAAATTCAAACCATATATTAAACATACATATGGTTCATATAATAATATTACACTATAGCTAGCTTGGACTAAGAAATTGCTTGCTAAGCAGGGAAATATTAAGCAACTACGCCAGTTAATAACCGAGTTTTCCATTTTTTTATGCTAATATTGTATATGCATACTATCTGTCTGTACTACTTCACAAGTCACCCATGAGAGAGAGAGAGAGAGAGAGAGAGAGAGATTTTGTAACTTGTGAGCCACTCAATGGAACATGTTTGTTGCAACTAAGCAACCCAAAACACCAAAGTAGTTGAATAGGGTTTCAGTGTGTAACAGAATGAATGAGATTGTATATCTATCTAGATATAAACTATTCAGAACACAAGTCGCAAGGTTTTTTTTTTAATTTTTTTTTTCAAAAAATGGATCAATTGGTGACTTCTCCACGACAGTCCATTCTTTCAGAAGCCTGTAAGACTCATGGAGGCATTTCAACCTCACTCTGGCCACCATCGTGCTATTCACCAGTGCCAAGAATCGAACATAGAATGTGCCGTATGTAATACGAGCCTGGAATTCGTCCCCAACTATTGGACCAACCCTGGTGGTTTAGTCACAAGGTTTATTTGCACAAGTCAACTTGGGCAGCAGAAAAACATAAGATTAAGGCTTAGCCCTGGTTTGGTACTGAGGTGCTTTTGAAAAAAGTGGGTATAAAAAAAAGATGGGAGCTTTTTTATGTTTGGTAAACATTCAACTTCAGTTTTTTTTTTCTTCACAATTTTGGGATGAAAAAAAACCAAAAACACAAAGCTGCAAAACCCAGCTTTGAAAAACCGGCTTTTTTTGCTTGCCTAGCTTTTGCTCAAACTGATTTCGCAAGAGGCACTGAGGCCTTTAATGAAATTTTCCAATACCCAAAATGGTCTTTAGCAATTAAATAAATTATACAGTATACCCGTCGACTTCGACGCGGACCCCACCATGTATCTCTTCTGTCATCTCTGACTCTGAGCTTCTTTTGATTTCTGGGACATGAGCGGCGGAAGGCTCGTCGATTTCTGGGCTTTTGTCAAAATTCGGGGCCTCTTCGTTAGATTTCTGGGCTTTTGTCAAAATCTGGGTTGCACAAAGAATGCTAGATTTGCACCCTTCTGCTTGACACCCAAAATCGCAATGGGAAAGCGTCGACGCCTTCACCGCTAACACCGATGGTAAGTCCTGAAATTGGAGTTCATCCATCTTTCGCGAGTCGGTTGATGCGACCCAACCTTCCTTTCCCCATGACCTAGCCTTCCTTAGGATCAGGCAGAGAGAGACAGAGAGAGAGACGAGGGAGAGAGGGAGTGAGCGGTGGAGGATAGAATATACAAAGGTTCTGCAAAAATAAAATAGGGAAAAAGTAAAGAAGAAATGACTCTTAGAGAAAAGAATAGAATAAAAAAATTATAAATATCTTAATAAAAAAAAGGTAAAAGTGCATTCTTCAAAGCTCACAACTGTTTATAAATAGTTTATATAAATCCTATAAATGTCATAATAAAAGAAAAGATAAAAAAAATTTATTATATAATATTCAACATCATATATTTTTTAGTCATTTTACACGGTTGCAGTAGTATTACATAAAAATTTATCAAACACTTTAACACTGTTTTTTTTTTTTTTTTTGCTAAAAGCACTTTTACAAAAAAATTTACCAAACACTCTATTGCTTTATTTCACAGCTGTTTATTCTCGCAGCATAGCAGAAGCAGTTTTTTTTCAAAGCACAACAATACCAAACCAGCCCTAAACAATATTGGGATCCACCAATTTAATTATCTATGTCAATTATCTATATATAGAGATTACAGACACATGTAGTGATCGTATATGCGCTAGAGACCACTTCTCTCTCAGAGATATGAGTCTCATGCATAATGTGCCATGCTTAATGCCACACTAATTACTTATTACAGAGAAAGCCATCTTTATTTCCCTCTCCCTCTCATGACAGATACTACAACAACCAGCCCAACCCCCCTAATGTGTTTTGGCTGAGCTTGTGATATTCGAATATTTGGGCTTTTATGGATTTCATGGTGTCTTTGTGTTTGAGCAGAAAGCATGGGAAGTTGCACAGGCCCCATTCAAGAATTTGATGATGATGGGTTTCATGATGTGGATGGCTGGGAGTACGGTGCATTTGTTTAGCATTAGAATCACCTTATCACGTATGAATGGTTTTCTATTACCATCAGTCATGGCATTTTGTAGTAGCCACCTTGTCATTGCGGAATAATTCTGGTTTAATGGGAGGGTTTTGATTCTTCATTATTGTTATTCTGCCTTTACATGCATATGTTTTGATGAAATAAAGGCTGATCAGGGCTTGCTGTCATAGCTCTCTCAGTATGACAACAAGATTACTAATTATTCACCTGTGCAGAAAATGTGACTGACATTACCTTCTCAAACATACATATGAGCACAAGATACTATGATCAATCCTGGTGGGGAAGAGCGGAGCCAATCTACGTGACCACATGTCCTCAACACTCAAAGTCAAAGGAGGGTTCAATCTCTAACCTACTCTTCGTTAATATCACCTCAACTTTCGAGAATGGAGTTTTCTTAACAGGTTCTAAAGGTGCGCTTCTCAGTGATTTACGATTCATTAACTTGGATCTGACTTACAGAAGATGGACCAACAATGCTGGTGGGTTGGTAGACTACAGACCGGGATGTCAGGGACTTGTTAAACACAGCACGGCCGGGATCATCATGGAACACATCAATGGCTTGGTGATTGACAATGTTAATATGAGATGGTCCGATGATCCGTTAAGGCAGTGGAATGATCCTTTGGATTTCAGGGCTGCTACTGTAAATAACATATCTCTGCTTAATTTCCACTCCAACTTGTACAAACAATGAAGGAGGTGGATAGAGAGAGAGAGAGATTAGGAAGAAGTATTGAATAATGTCATTCCTTAGATTGTATGTTGGTGATGGATTTTGTTCAAAGTTTTTATTAGATTAAGGGCATGAAAGTTTGTTCAATTGGTCACCCACCAAGCAAAACCAATATCTAGAGTTGTTTTGTATGTTATGGTTTAAAAGTTTTTTAACCAGAATACACTACAAATTCTGTTCACTCACACTCTGAGTTGTGAGAAATACAGAGGTATTTCAACTGAAGTAGTTTGTCGTACTAATTAATATTTAAGATAAAGTTTATAAATATTTTTCTTTTAAAAATAATGTAAATTTAGTAATTCACCTTTATTTGTTAAGAAAATTAAATTAATAGCACATATAGTATTATACCATTTTTGGTCATTTTACACAATCACAGCTGTTTTACATAAAAGTTTACCAAACACTATCATACTGCTTTTTTTTTCCAAAAGCACTTTTACAAAAAAGTTTACCAAGCACTCTACTGCTTTATTTCACAGCTGCTTATTCTCACAACACAACAAAAGCAGTTTTTTTTCAAAGCATAACAATACCAAACCAGCTCGAAGTTCTAGGAAACAGATATCACTTTTTTTTTTGTCGGAAAAAAAAAAAAAGAAGAGGTAGGAAAATGTTACTTCACTCACAAAATAAAACTCTCTTTGAATCACTAATCACTCTAGAATAAAATTGGAAAATAAGTTTGATTGGGTTTTGCCTCTCCCTCCTCAACTGCAGGAAAAAACCATGCTTTGGTCGACCATGGCACTCAACTCTTATGACATCCTTGGAACAACATGTCAAACTCGCCGAGGTTCAACAAACACAGATGTAGTTCTTGGGGGCACAGTGAAGCATCCTGAGGAAGCATCATAGGTAGATCTCTTAACTATTTCATCCGTTGACGTTACCTGCAACAAGTTCATATTTAAAGAACCAGTATAAAACAAATCAAGCAGGTTTATCCTTGGAGCAACTTCAAGTGATCTGAGCTCATCTGACATTCAGAATCTTTCTTCTAGGCTTGAGATGTTATGCAGAAAATCTCTGGCGCTCCTTTCGATTACCCCAAATTTGAGCAAAGAAACAACATAAAAAAACAGCGGTAATTGACGTCAATGGTTTACCTGCACAGGATGCAACTGAAGAGTCCTAGACTGAAGAGGGGGACTGGCAAATGACACCTCTGTTGGACACGCATTGATGATAACCACAATGTAAGAGAAACTGTGCAGCACAAAGGTTTACAAGTGAATTATTTTCCAATCGTTGGTATCGTGGAAAAATTAAAGTTAGAGATATTTATACCGACATTGGATCGAGCTGAGATAACCCTGGCACGCCTTCATGACCATCTTCAATGCTCATTACTATGACTCCAGGGACTAATGAAGGGCCAGTATTATGGAAACGTACCCGTTCCTGAACATTGAATATTATGTATTAAAACTTGGGAGCAAATTTGGTTTATCTCTAAAATAAATGGTTCAGCTCATAGCGTTTGCTATACAAGAAGCCTATCACTTTTTCTTGGTAAAATCAATTCCAAGAAAAAACATTACTATTGTATTGGAACGTAAGTATAGATACGAGGCTTCTCACCTGAATAGCATTTGCCGTCCTCAAACGAAAAAGTGGTGAAGTGTACCTAATACGTAACAAATTAGAAAAGTTCTCCAAAGCAGCGAGGATGTGACTTTTCTGAGGCTTAAAGGATGGATCTGCTAATCTTGGTTTCATTCTGAAAGAAGGAAACATAACCAAAAAATTATCACTTGACATTTTATACCAGTCGTTATAAAGTTTCTGATGCCAGATACACCTTTCTACATCCCATGTCAACGTCACTAAGATATACGCAGGATCAAATGATTGTGGAAATAGACGAGGGCTTACAGCGGCCAGCTGTGTTCGTTCTTCTCTTTTGGAGGAAGGCCAACACCCCAATTGTTAGAGCTATAAGTGAAGTCCAGCCTGGAAATCATACCAAACAAACGTTATGCTTGAGAAAGACAGAAGTTATAGCACGCATGGGTTACTCAATTAGAAAAGATGAAATGGGACTATAGGAGTGAGAATTATTGTTGAACACATAAAGGATCCAACTTGTAACTCGAAAGTAGCATATAATGCAGAAGATCATATACTTATTCGAGCAGTTAGATATAAGATCAGCTAAAATCGTGAAATCTTATGTGACAACTATAACTAAGACTGTAACTTGGGAATGAGATTAGCAATTGACCTATTGAACCAATCACCAGAATTGTATGAGTCACGATCAAGTGATTTTGACCGAAGCAGCTCATCGCCGGCGTGGAAAAATGGTATCCCCTAAAATTAGAAAATCATTTATAACTGATTGGTCATACAATATTCCAAAAAATGAACTATATAAAAATGAATTAATAAACATTATAAATAATCCTAGTAGCCTGCCATTTCATACATGAAATTTTCGTTAAATCAACATTAAATACGATTTAAAACCTGTCCGAGTGCTATTATACTTGTCGCCAAGTGATTTATCCTGCATCTCTCCTCTAAAGAAATTTCCATCGAAGTCTACAAGTAATGGATTGAGTTAGACAAGAAGTTACAAATATGAAGTCAAATAAATACTGCAGAAGTACATGTACCTTCAGAGCCACGATGTCAAACAGAGTTTCGTTGTCATGAGCAGAAACATAATTGATCTGGAGAACAAACGTAGTTGTCAATTGTATGGTTTTTCTATGTTAATATTTGTCATTCTACCTTTAAAGCATCAATATGAAGTTATGAACAATGCATTAACATCCTGAGCAAAATGCATTAACCGAAGTTCATTAACCGCCAATACTCAGATTTGCTAAGCCCACCTTACAGCAGGTTCTCAGCCTAGCATCTAAAATTATACATTACATTACATCGGTTAAGGGTATAAAATATGGCTCAGAAAACATCAAGTACCTTCAAACAGGTGGTGATAGGCACAAAATCACAAGAACTAAAATTATGAATCCTGATATAGATACTTACAGTTTCAGTAGGAGATAAAGTATATGCTACAGGTGTACCGCCATAGGTCAATACTTCTGCTCCTTTTACCTGAATGAATCATTGGAAATGTCAAGGTAATGCATTTTCAGCTAAAACATCAACAGCGGATATTGATACTTAACCCTTTGGAAATTAATGTATACCTCTTTCCCTTCATAATCAGTTAGCACAAAATCCCTCAGGTTTGCAGCCATTCCAACCTGCATTGCTGTACTTCCATTAGATACGATCACAACAAAAAGACTAAAGGAATTATGGCTTATGAAGCCTTTTGCAATATCACCGAAGAAAGACAATAAGATTTGGATCCAAAGTCGGTTAAGTAGTATTATTTAAAAAAGGATGACAATCAAAAGTTCAAATAGATGAGAAAATGATACGTAAAAGAAACTTCAAAGCGACAGAAATTTGTTTTTTATTGAAAATTCTTATCCCCTAGGTGAAGAAACCTATCAGTTTTAGTCTACCAATGCAGCTCATTCCATCAATACAAGAACAATTTTCAGTTTAATTTCAGTTGGCATCCATAAATTTTCATGATTTCATTTGTTCACGGACTAAGGAGACAAAGGTGTCCAGCATCGGGCCAAAAACAAAATGCTAGATATACAAAAATGCATTAAAATGATAAACCTGAATGTGATCCTTTGATTCAGCAAGCATGTGTTTTGCAACACTTTCTGGACCATGATCGTGACCATTAGGCTACAGAAGAAAGATTAATCCATTAACTATGATGAAAGCAATCATACAATATTCTACGTAAGAGATCACTTTCACCCTTAGCATGAGTCAAAACTGTAGTGATATACATATTACTCCTTCAGTGATGCAAAACAAGATATATGTGTATAGAGTGATGCTCTTTCTCCGTATAATCTAGCTCACAATGTTGATCATGCAAATTTCACTTCACCTTATTACGGTCTTAAGAGACTGCGGGACACATAACATGTCAAAATGTTTCAGTACGGAGCACCCACTATACTCATACAACACATATATAGTATATGCATGCAACTTATTAGCACACGAAATAAAATTTGTAGTAGTCTCGCTAAATAATCAACTAATATATAAAGAGCTCCTTTAAAAGTCATTATATACCTGCAAGAGTAGACCGGTCACAAATCCTTGCTGAAGAGGATGGCCAAATGGAGATCCACCAAGTATTGCATCCCGTATTCGATCATTAAAACTGATAGATAAATCAACACCTAGCTATAGGCACTCACTAGGTAGTGAAGAAAGAAATGGAAGAAAGGAAAATCTAGTATATATAGTTCCCACTGAGTTCGCATTTGACTAGAACAAGACATTCCAGTACAAGGTTGAAGTTCAACCACCGTACATCTTTATTTGTGTCTCTTTTGAATCTCTGATAAGGAGAGAAAAACTAAATAAAAATCAGGTGCCAATATCATCCTTTCAACTGTCAATAAGTGAAAGACTTTTTTTAATCAGACAGTCCTATATCTAATTCCTGCATGCAATCCTATTTCCTAGTTCCTCAACGTAACGAAAAGAAATGTTGGACCCCATTTAAAGGAAACGCAAAATAGTACCTTCCAATTCCAGTTCCACGAAGATTGGACTGTGACGCATTTATTCCACGTCCATTATTGGCAACTTCACCAAAATCCCATCCTTCGCCATATCTTGATAAAAGTGATAAAACAAGAATATTGAGCCAAAATCATGCTAAAGATTCAAGAATTGTAAACAAAACAACAGATCCATAGGGAAAATTCAAGCATCGATTTCCAAAGCTACAATAATAGTGTGTTAAATGAATATAGTGACTAATTACATATAGATACTTGAGCCATCAACTCCATCCCTTTCCTTTGTTAGGCTGCAGAGTGCATCTTTTGCTTTCACCTGTGCACGAATTAGTATCTTTTAGGCATTTGGCTATTGAACATCCACTCAATGTACTATGCTAACTGGCTGAGAGTATCATACCATTGTTCTTCTCATTATATGACCCATAAGATCGAACCGGAACCCATCAACCTGCCAAAAGATTCATATGATTCCAGAAACCACCTTTAAGACTTACAAGTATACATCCAATGATGCATAAAACTCAAACCCTTTCAATCCAACGATGAAACTACGTGAGGCTTCTTTGAGGTATTCAAGCACCATTTGACGAGTGAAATCTCACCTTGTAATCAACTGCCCAGTGCAATAGA